GTCAGACCCAGAGTTTCAGTACTTTATACAGCAATATACAGGCTGTACCTAAGCCATACCATCTGTGGATTTGGACTCAAACATGTGAAAAATAAAATGGAGTAGTATGAAAAAGCTGCTGCGAGAAAGAAATCACTGCAGAAAAGGCACTGCTTAATCTCCCCTTAGAAGTGATCCCTGACTGGATGCCTGCAAAGTAAGGCTATCTAAGCATACACAGCTCATTAACAAGGAGAAATTGCTCTATATTATTAGCTGCACAGATTAATTTTACTGCTATCTTGATCTCAGGCCCTTTCACAGATGTGCCAGCTTTTTTCCATTTGGTGGACACAGCCATTTTCCCAGACTGTAAGGTCTTTTCAGGGTGATTTGTTTGTACTGTGCCTAACACAAAGGCACCATTATGCCAGACTGAAACCGCAGGTGCTTATGCAACAAACACTGACAATGTAACTCTTCAGGTGGGCAAAAGGTCTTGCAGCAAATTGTGACAATACAAGTTATTAACTTATCTCAAAATTGTGAAAGAGTTTTAGAAGTGTTTGTTTCCATGGAATGCGGAATAAAGTATATATACTTTACTTAATTCTTCTGGCTGTTGATTTTATGAGCTGAAAGATCAATGGAGTACAAGGAAAAGATCAACAAGGAAACATTTTATTTCTTTTGATTTCTTTTTTTCCTTTCTCTCCATTATCACTATCATTCAACGCCTATTTCTTTTACTGTCTTTTTATCTTTTCTTTCTTATGTACTTGCAAAGTTCCTTTTTCTCCAGAGAGACAATGCTAAAAGGAGAATTTCTAGTTGAGTGTTAGCTAGGAACAATCTGAAGGGAGAAAAGACTGGCTCTGAGCTCTCACTTCTGAACCTGTAATATTGACTTTCCTAGAAAGAAGCCAGTGTAGGAAAGACTGCATATAAACAAACATCATTCTTTCTGCTTCCAGTGCTACATATTCACTTACAGTATTCGTACATTTAAAAACACCCAGAGATACTCAGTATGAGAATGCAGGTTTATATTCAACTCCCAAATTCCTAAATTGCTACAGTTTATACTATTATAAGTAGTGATAGAGGCAAAGTTAATCAAACTTTGGAAGAGCTCAACTGCTGTTCCAAGGAGGACTTCAGGCATTGTCATATTATAAAAGAAGTGTTCTAATATAATTCCAGTAAGCAAAAGTAAAACATAATGAAAATCCAGTCTCTCATAGTGAACCTGCCAAGGCTTACCTCTTATGAGTAAGAAATAACAGGAATAAAAACGAAGTTCAAAATCCCTATGGTGAGAAGTATCTGATATTAAATTTCTGTTTCACTCTTGCTTTGGTGGTCTTTTGGGGATTTTTAATATCATCCAAAAGGTGAAGTATATATCTAGCTTTTTTTTTTTTTTTTTTTTTTTTTTTTTTTTTTAAATGCATTTCACATATGCTTGAAATAGACAGAAAAATAGAATTCATTAACAGTTTCTGGAAGGGAGCATCCCCTTTTAGAGACCAAGCCCTCAAAATGTATCTAAAGTAAACCTGACCACTTTCAGCACAAATTGGTGCCAAAGATGAATTTGATCTAATTACTGCTCATAATCACTTAAAAAAGAAAAAAAAAAAAAGAAAAAGAAGAAGAAGAAAAAAGACCTTTTAATATCTTAAAAGGAACAAATATCTAACATACTTCCTTAATCCCTCAAAATCTAGGATTTTTGTTTTTCTACCTTAATATTTTGTCTTAAGTATAGTTAGGAAAACTATAATGTACAAACTGAACTCCCTGGCTGCACTATCACTCTAAAAATACTGCTACTGTTGCTACCATACAATCTGTTTTGGGTAGAGATCTGTGTAGCAGAGGCTAGTAACTATTTCCCTCATACACCACTTTTCCATACACTGCACATTTTTATAAAGCTTCCTCTTCCATCTTTAGAGAAATAATGCTGCTGTAACTAAACACTTCGGTACAGATACCTCAAAACCCCAAAGGATGAGTCAAGAGAGCCATGTAAATTCAGGCTCAGGAAAGCTACATTTAATCCAACTTTTAGATCTTCATACACCAAACTGTCATGATAGATAAAGGGTGACTACACAGATTATTAAGGACTTTTAGATATAAAAGGACATCAAGAATATAAAGCAAAACAGTGGCTGGTCTTGCTGATGACGGTGTGGACATCTGCAACAGGTCAAACTATCAGCCAAACCTGGCACAATCAGCAGGGAACTATGAAGAGGAGAATGGAGTCTGGTTTCCTTTAGCTCAGCAAACATTTAGGGAATGAACAGTACAAGAGCAAGAGCACACAGCCGGAAAGGAAGGTGTCTGACTATAGTGAGCCAGGGTTTCTAGCTGTTTGGAATAGAAAACCGTGTGCGTGTGTGTGTGTTGACATCCATCAGTTAGGTTATACACACAGAAAGTCTTAAAGGCCATATGGGCAGAAACACTTCCGTATCTGTATTATATGTCAGAGAAATGAAAAAGAGGCACTCCTGGATTTCTCCCTTTCCCCTCAATCCATAATACTGATCATTAGGAAACAGACGACAACCATTCATCTAAGACACTGCAGAAATACTAGTATCTGAGAGGCAGGTGCAGCTGAAGTCTCTCAGATTCTTCCCAATCTCTCCTCACCTAAGGTTAGGAAAATAATTGCTCAGTTCCTATCACTATGCTTTCAGCACAGTGAGATTTTGCAGAGGTTATGTTAGCAGAAATTTCCCAGGGGCAATATTCTGCATCAGTAATAGGATAATCTCACTGTAAATCAAAGGTATTTTATTTTTATCAACTAGACAGCAACATTTATCAGTCTAGTAAACTAGCAGTCACAAATCAGTAGTGAACCTCAAGTTTCCAAATGATAGAAGCAAGTTCTTTCATCGTGAAACAGTACTAATCCAGTCAGCCTGGAATGCTCTTCTAGGAACTCTTCTAGATGATCTGACTCTTGGATAGTCAGTATAACGGACTCTGCCAGCATGACAGTCCCTTACTTCACATAATGCCATGGACTTACTCCCAGTTGTTGATCCTAAAAGGAATTCTGAAAACTTGAGAGATGGGAAGCATCATGTTTTCCCTACCGCATGAACCTCATATGCACTCGCAAGAGAAGTTTATGTAATATTTATGCTTGATGTTGTCTGATTAGGTGTCAGGCCTCTTTGCCTTTGGCTCCTTGCCAGTACAGTCAGTGCAAGGGCTGCTGAAAAAGAAGAAACTTCACCTGTGCTGACATCAAGGTTGCAGGTACAACATGGGACTGTGTCTGACAGATTCTCAACTGAAAAACCAAAGGAGTAGCCCATGGTCACAGGTGCACTACTACAGATGACTTCCACTGTCCCACTTCTAAGAACTTCTTTTCAAGAAATAAACACTATTTTCATGGATAGCTCCAAAGAAGCAGCAGAGAAGGACAGAAAACAAAACACTTTAGAGACATATCTCTTCTTAAGGGGGAAGTGTATACACTGCACCTTGTAACTTAAGGATCTCAGACCATAGTTTTTTTAACATCTTTATATTGACTCAAAGCAGTGATTACCCTATCCACACATTCTGTCACTCATTTTTGAGAGCTAAGGCTTACGTATTGACAAAACACGAATGGGATCCAGGAACTTCTTAAAGCTAGCTATTACAGCTCGGCTTCCCTAACGTGATATGCTGTCATATAATGCCTTACATGTATTTATAGAAGCAATAGAATATATGCTACCTTCTAGTTACTTTGGTGCCCAGTGCTCATAAAGCCTCTTGAACAGTACACTAAATTCTTCATATTTATGTCTCAACTACTTTTTGCTATGAGCCATCCATGTATTTCACCCTTCCCTTGTATGTAGTTTTCACTCTTTTCTGTATTCTTGACAACGGCCAGAAAAAGGAGAGTCACTGAACATACACTACTGACCATACTAAATCAGGAATCAGTTGTTCAGCTGTAAGTGTAACATGACAGCCTCTTTCTAAAATAGCAGGAAGATTTTCTTTCATGCACATTTCTGGGTTCTTTTTTTGGTCCACAGCATATTTCAAGAAAAGCCTGCCTGAGGAAACAGACCAAAACCAAAAAGAGAAACTGCCACAGAAACTTATCTGAAGGCATTAAAAATTAAATAGCTTTTTAAAGAGCCCTCAGTCTTTATACTAAAACCTATTAACATTGTCTAGACTGATCTAATTTATAACAACTCCATTTCAGACAACTCTGTTTGGTTGTTGGTTAGGAGCCCAAAGCAGAAGTGACATTTTCCCCTATTACTCCTAGTCATACTCTTTCACTTTTCCCTTCCACCTCAAACACTTGATGGTGGGGAGAAGCCCACTGCTATTTGAAGAGGTGGTCACCAAAGCCTGATGAATTCAGACTGCAGGAGAGCAATACTTCAAATCTAACGAAACCTCATACTAACATTCTTTTCAGCAGACACTCTTCTGGCAACTGAAACTGCAGCCTCTAAGCACAAGAGCCTCAACCATTATTATCACACTGTTCGTTCCCTCACTCCCTCAGATAAATACTCGCATGTTAACATCCCCAGGGGAAAATGTGCCATTTTAGAGTCTCAGTTGATTCCCAAAAAATTATCAACACAATAAGCATAATTGCTTATAGGAAGATATACCTTTGTCACTTGACATTCCCCACATAATTCCATACATTTCCTCAGCAGTTTTATGTTCCATGCAGTAAGGACATACTGCAGCAGCTCTTGACTTAAGGCAGAAATGTATGAGCCTGGAAATCTACTTTTATATTATGGAACATATATGAGTAACTTCAGTCTAATAAGTTGAGGTTTTAAGTTTCATATGTCTAATTTAAGTAAAGCCAATTAGATACACATTTGAAAGTGAAAGACAACATTTAAACACTTGCACTTTTGAATACTTCGTCAACACTAAGAGCTCACTTACTACAAGATTTTTTCCCCCAAGAAGTCAATGACAAACAAATATATTTAGCAGTAACATACCTTGAAGTTGCAATTTCCACTTTTGTTCTTGCCATGGCAGCTGCTCGCTGTGCACCCTCTATTGCTCTATCCACTTTTTCTCTAGTTTTTGTGTTGCGTATTGGTATAAGTTGCTTTCTTATTCCACGAACCAAAACATTATTTTTATATTTTCCTTCTTCTTTGGTGCCATCTGGAAACATGGTACATCCATATCCATGCCTCCTGTTATTTAACCATTCTCCTTCATATTTCATGCCATTTGAACGCTCACTAACACCAAAACCACTGCGCTTGTCATTCTTCCATTCACCCATATAGCTTTCTGTTGTGGTGGCATCAACGTGGTCTTCCATAGGACAATAATCACAGTCACCATCTCCAAAACTAATCGTAGAGTTGGCATCACTGGAACTAATTCTGCTCATAGCAGCATCACTCCTGACGGAGCTCCGTTTGCTAGATATTGAGGATCTAGATTCAGATTTTCTAAGTTTTATACTACCAAGAAGGGATCCTCTTCTGAATAAGCCTCCTTTTTTCTTAATTCCCATGGCTTCTGCTTCACTGTGAAAATTGAGCACAAAACCTCCTCTTGTTCCAGCCGGACTGTCTGCAGTGATGTCGTGCAGAACGGTGCCATTGCTCTGTTCACTTCGAAGTGAAGCTAGAGATGTTCGTAGAGGTGAACGGATCACAGTTGCCATGCCATAGGGTACACTCTGACGTACACCATATCCATGTCGCATTCCTCCTGTCCACTGTCCCTGGTATGTACCTTTTAAAGTAATTAGCAGAAATTAAATTTAGAAAGTTGTAGAAGACCTACTAGTCTACATTCAATATGCTACTGGCAACACTGTGCTGATAAGTCTGCTTTAGGAAACTAGAAACAGAAGAAAAAAAGTACAGCACATGAGACTACATAAATTACATACTTTTTGTTACTTGTTTTTTCATAAATCATTTTTTTCCCTTAACAAAGCCCTTGCTTTCCAAGCTGCAGTAGCTTATTTTGACAACTAAAACACAGTAGCTATCATCATAAGTGTTTCTTGAGCAGTTCTACCCATGGAAGAAATTTCAAAAGAAATCTGAAAGGCAGAACTCCCTCAATGTTTTTTAAAGGGAACAACGAGGAAGAGAGAGAAGGGTGGAGGGAAAGAAAGCAGGGAGGAAGTGGAGCACTTGGGCTCTTGCCTCCAGCTGCTCACAAGGAGAGCTAGTGGGATGAGTAAACATCCTGTTTTTTAAAGACAACTGCAGACCTCTCCCTGTCATGACATACTCAACAACCTACTAAGACGAAACTGTCTTGATCCCATGGCCCACCTGAAGACTGCTGTTATGAAGCCCTATCATACAATCAAATGTTTTAAAAAGATTTTGAATGTACCTGAATGGAAGAAAATGATAAAACACTGCAAACAAAACCTCTGTATATATTGCCTTTCACGAACATTTTTTTTGTTTACTCAATATCATAAACAAAGTACACTAGCTACCTAAAATATTGGCAGTATAAAGCGAGCTACACTTCACTCTAGCTACCCTTTCTGAAGAAGGAGTCACAGGAAAGCAGCAGACTACCTTCACTGCCATCTCATCTGTTGAGTAATTCCCAGAAGAGTAGGTCCTTTGCTTGAGAAGTAGCTGAACTTGGGTTTAAAGATAAAAAAAAAAATATTCCAGCTATTTGACAGTCATCAAAAATATGAAAGGCTGCTGTGACATAAAAATACAGTCAGATTATTTTTCTATTTACATTCTGCAGTGTGTTGTGACAGAAATCAGAAATGTGAAGGCTTTTCTGCTTTTTTTGCCTTCCATTTTTGCTGCAGTACATACAGAAGACAAGACAGTAATAAACAGAGTATGACACACCACCCTATCTATAACTACATTCCATTGTTTATACTGTGACCATAATTATTTTTGAGTGTTTTTTCAAAAAGCAGTACAAAGAAGAGCAACACGGTATTTGATATGAGAAGACATGCTTATCTGTGTACATGCAAAGCTGCATCTGAGCCAAGAAACAGCATTATCACCAGATTACTGTTTCAGACTATTTTATTTCTTGTATTGTCAAAAAGCATTTTCATTTTGATAAGACACACACTCCCATGTCTAGGCTCTGAAAGCCAAAGGAAGGTGTGAGGTGCCCCACTCCTGGCAAACAGAAGATAACTTGCTTTCTAAGATCATTTCACTGTAATCCCTATGAAACTTCTTTAAGAGACACACAAAAAAAGAGGTTTCTCATCCACCTACTACTATTTCTTTTAAAAGCTATTTTGACTCTGAATATTCATACAGAAGTATGAATAAGCTCTCCCTAAAATATCCTTGAGCTTATTCTGCTTCAACTGAGTACATATTAAAAATGATTCTTCAGAGAACTGAAGATCAAATGTCAAATTCCATGACTGAATAAAGTTTTGTAAACATATTTGTGAAATACCCAGAGTTTCAGATGCAGCCCAAAGATTCAGTTGCTTTGATATTCAATCTCCTTTGTATAAGCATGGTATTTTGCTGTGCTGGTGTCAATTATCTATCGATTACTGTTTTACTGTATTACCTCTTCAGCTAGGCTGCATTTCAATGTTAACATGCAATCACGTTTGTGAGATTTCTTTCTTATATAATACTAAATAGGTTTGACAACATAACTATTTTGTGTTGGTAGAAAAATTCTACTAAGTGGAAGGTTTTTGTTTTAACAGATGGCTGCTGACATAAACCAACAACCTTCTTCGTTTCTTTCTCATTCTCTGTATCCTGGATACCTACTGCTGTATTGCTCGTAAGGGTGCTGAATCTAGAAACATGATTATTTTAAAAACCTCAGCATATGGAAAAGAACAAATAGATACATGAGCGCAAAACAGCAATCTGACATATCCTGAAAATACTGCAAAAAAAAAATGGTCATATGGTAGTTTTTTTCTTAATTAAACAGACATTTCACAGAGATATATTAATATTTTATGGGCATAAATGACTACATTTTGTCCTCAATTATAACTGGAAAAGCCCTAGAATCGTAATGACGTGCTGAAGAATCTGGCAAGGTACACTGCACTGCTGCATGCAACAATGTGATATTCTGCATCAGTTCGTTAATTTCATTTGAAAATAATAAATCCAATTCTAATTGTGATTATATCCCAGAATTACATTACAGCAGTATAACTGTGGCTCTCCACGTTGCTATTTGAGTGTCTGACTCAAAGCAGAAACAATCCCTTCCAGCACAGAATTTTATAAAAGTTTTTATTTTATAAATACAAATGGCCTGCCTTTGCCATTTTTTCTTACTAATATTTTGACCTAAAAAAAAAAAAAAAGCTCAAAAATAGTTAACCAAATTGTGATTCACATTTTTCCCTGCTCTATAGACAGAAGTGGTTACTGTTGCCCAAAAGGGTATTAAAATGAGGACAATTGATGTGCTGCTGTTTACTTGTCAGATTTTTCTTTCTACTAGGCCAATAAAATCAATGCCAGTTTCTTCTAAAGAGAAAAGAGCAAATGAGGCAATGAAAGATTCATAGTGAACTGGCTCTTGGAAGAGATTTAGTTGGAATTTTATGCAGTCTTGCAGGCAACAAGGATATTTTCTAATATTAGAAATTTGTAAGAGAAAAGGTTCAATACTAGTGCTAGAAAGCTGATGCTTTCCTTGATTTTTTAACTTAAGTGTTAAAAGAAAGATATTTTAATGGCACATGGAGGGCAGTTCACAGAATACAGATGCTACAGACCTGTAGAATCATAGAATGGCCTGGGTTGAAAAGCACCACAGTGATCACCTAGTTTCAAGCCCCCTGCTATGTGCATGTGACCCAGAGCCACATCCAGCCTTGCCTTGAATGCCTCCAGGGATGGGGCATCCACAACCTCCTTGGGCAACCTGTTCCAGTGTGTCACCACCCTCTGTGTGAAAAACTTCCTAGAATGGAGACTTAAGTACCGTGATTTATCATATCAGACCATAACTGCCTCATCTCCTTCATCAGAAGAAATTATAGACATCTTTAAACAATCAAGGTATCTGGTATGTTAATACTGTAATATAATGCTACAGCATACAGTACAAGATGATAAAACAGCTCTTCTTATGAATAAAGATAGAAACATGGTATCTACTTAGCTCTATACACAGATACAAATATGAATGACAATATCAACACATCATTTCTTGTTTTATCATATATTATAATGCACTGTCTATAGCAGTTTCACTGAGGATCAACTTTTTAATTACCACTGTGATTATGGAGTTAATTTAAAACTGTTTTTGACAATAAAACAGTAACTTTACTTCCTAAAAGCCAGGCTTGTTGTAACAAAACAATCCAACCATTCAGCAACAGCTTCTACTGACCGTGGTGCTCCTGAGCAGATGTCCATATTTTCAGCCCGAGAACTAACAGAAAGTGTACTTTTAAATTCTGTTTTTGCTTGGCAAACTGCTGTAAGGTAGAACGTCATAACCTGTCTCCTCAGAGCTACATTGTGCTACACTTCCCCAGACTCCCAACTGTATCTTAGAGCTGTAAATGTCATTGCCTACTTGTGGCTCAAATGTAAAACTGTGCTGTAAAAAAGCATGGAGGCCACCGCACTAGGAACTGCTTGACCTACTCATAACCTTTACATTCATCTTCTGTGGTTTAATAATTTAGTTGCCACCTCAATGTTCTTACACGCTCTCTGGACTCAAACGTTAGATAAACACCTAGAAAGCCGACTGCTTAGAAATCAATGAACGCATGCACCGCTGATGGCCTTTTCTTCACATGCATTTGCCACTGATGTCCACAGATGAACAACACATGTTCTTACAGTAGTACTCCCGTTACTGCTACTGCTGGCAGGATCATAAGGTGCTAACTAACTTACACATACTGAAGCAGCAAATTAGGCTGCAATCCCTCAGTAAACAATCCGCAGGTAGGCAGGTGGATTCACACAGATCCAAGGAAATCAAGGCAGCCTAGAGGAGGCACAGAACTCCAGATCATTGTAGGGTACAACCTGAAAGGTCACTTGAAAGCCAAGCATAGGCACGTACAATGAACAGAGGACCATGATCTACGTATAATTCACTGTGTTTTTCTCAAAGACTCATTGGAGTGACAACTTCACTGCATTCAGACAAGGCACGATCTATACTACTGACAACGTGCAAAGCAGTGTGTGCAGAAACACTGAGGACTGCCACTGGTGTTTATGTTCCTTTTCTCTTCCACAACTTCAATTACTAATATCATCAAAGCAATCAGAAATATCATATTACCAAAACAACAACAACAACAGCAAAAGAAAACCCACAACAGTAAAAAGGCCTGTATTCAAGTGATTTTTAAAGCAAAATGGCAATTTGCATAGTAAAACCCACTATTTTCCAGTATTCTCAGGTCAGAATTAAGAAACAGCTTTCCTGTGATTATTTCACAGTGTATTAAAGACACATAGGTAAATCTGGCTGCCTTGTAAAAGCATTTCAGACATTCTTCTAGTGTGCAACTACAGCCATTGTACCCAGAGCATGAACACAAAGATCCATCTGCAATCATGTGACATATCGCCTGGCTTCATTCACAAATGCTTCCATTAAAATCAATGGGATTCACATCTTCTGTCCGCATGAATTGAAATGTCTAAAAGACTGGGACCTTACTAGCAGATTTTAGTTAATAAAAATAAATAATTTACAAAGGAAGCTGTACATTCCAAGTGCTGTTTCAGACAAAGGGTTTCCTGTTAGTTTAAAGCCTAAAAATTTACAGAATTTACCACTGAATTATCAGTATTATACTGAAATAAAAAATATCCACAAGAAGTCTAAAGATGGAGATACAAGGAACTTTGGTTTGTGAAACACAGTAGCGATTTACTTTTCTGGACAAGAAAAACAAAAAACAACAACCAAACAAAACTATGGCCACTAAGAATTCAGCTTCTGAGTTACGAGACAAAATAAATCTGAACAAAATTCAAAATGTATTGTGTGATGAAAGTGAAACTGAAAATTTATCTATGTGGTTTGGTTAGGCTTTTAAATCCTCAAGACAATAGCCACGCTGAGAGTGATCATCAGAGCTTTCCACATCAGAAAACTTTTCCACGTAGTTATAAAAATGCACAATTAAAGGGATTAGAAGAGTTCAGGGTACAGAAAACATAGCACTGCATTTTCTCATGGAAATGAATCTCACCCAATTCACTACACTCTGTATTTCAGAAAGAGCAGAAGGGGAAAGTATTCCATCTGTAAACACCTCTTCCGCATAATACAAAATCACCCATTCTGTGATGCTATTTCTACAGTTCTATCACAAATCTCTTAACAGAACTCCCTAAAGAAACCAGCAGCAGCATCAACAGATCTGATACACAGGCTGGTCCTTTAATCTCATCATTACAAAGTTACAAGTTACCACTAATTTTGTTAAGTTCTATTTCTTGCACGTTATACATGCAGCTTGCGCAGCATTGCAGCAAGCAGCGCTTCCTTAAAAAATAGCACACCGCTAATTCTAAAACTGAGATCAGCTCTTTCATTTACAATGGGACAAATCAATCACAAAATGGCACTGGTTGGAAGGGACCTTAAAGATCACTCAGTTCCAACTCCCATGCCATGGGCAGGGATGCCACCACTAGATCAAGCTTAAGAGCAACTCCACACAGGTGAGGTGGCACTTCCACCGATGTCAATAACATTACAGCAGCAGAAAGCTAATTTAAAAACACTGGGATTACTTCTCCACACAACATGTGAAATGATGCAGGCATGGTAGGATGAGGTGGAACTAACCCATCAAGTTAGCTGAGTCCCGAGTGACCCCACTAAGCCTGAGCTCGAAAAGCACTGCTAAAATGGGTGTGGGTTGTCCGGCCCTACTGCATGCATCTGTCTTCCTACGGTGAGCGAGGGGGTGATTTATGGACTGGTTTCATCCATCACCCGTCTAGCTTCCATGTGTTTGAAACTGCAACTGCATTTGAATGCAGTGCAAGTCATTGCATGGAGGTGCAGCTAAGTTTCACTCATGTCATGCACGTTCAGTATCTACTTCACTGCAGTTGAGTTTATGAATGTAAACCAGCATATGTTATCAGTGAAGCGAGGGAGCACAGCAACATGGAATGAGGATCTTTCTTAAGTTTACAGTATTTTACCACGGAAACAGTGGTGAGAGAGTCACAGAATCACAGCACATCCCAACTTGGAAGGGTCCCACACGGATCTCTGAGTCCAACTCCCGTCTCCTCACAGCACAAGCAGTTCAAGCCTCACTTCCAAGCGCCCCTTGAGCTCCGGCCGCGGTCACTGCCCTGGGCATCCTGTTCCAGCCCACCACCCCCTGGTGAACAGCCTTTCCCCGATCCCAGCCCGACCCTCTCCGAGGCTCCAGGCGCAGGGAGCTTGCCCTCCCGACCCTCGACGAGACCGGCAAGCGCTGCGGGGAGCTGCCCCGCCACGGAAAGCCGCGGGCTGACTGCTTTTAGCCCGGGCTGGGAGACCGCGATAAGCCGGGAGCGCCGCGCGGCCGAGCCCCGGAGCGGCCGTTAACGCCCGGCGGGGCGACGCGGGGCACCTGTGGCGCCCCGTGCACTGAGGAGCCCCCGCGGCCCGGCGGCGCAAGGCCCGGTGGCAGTCGGGGCCGGGTCCTCCCCGCCGAGCGCGCACTCACGCAGGCGCGCCCCCTTCTCGCCCCCCACCGCCGTCGCTGCCGCGCGCGGGGCGCCCCCCGCCGGCGCCCACCTCCGTCGCCGTAGGTCTCGACGCCGTAGCCGTCCTGCAGCCCGTTGCTCCAGGTGCCCTCGTAGCGGGCCGGCGTGCTGAGGCTCTGCCGCACGCCGTAGCGCCCCTTGAAGCCGTGCGACCACTCGCCGCGGTACATCCACCTGCCCTTCGTCTCCACGCCCAGCCCGTGCCGCTTGCCCTGCGCCCAGTAGCCCAGGTAGGTATTGCCGCTGGGCCAGGTGTAGCCGCCCGCCACCTCGAAGCCGTGCGACCAGGAGCCGGCGTACTCGCCCTGCCCCTTGGGCCCGGTGCAGATGCCGTGCCCATGGGCTTTGCCGTCCTCCCAGCCGCCGCAGTAGGTACCGCCATCGTCGAAGTCGAACCGGCCGCCCGTCATCCAGGGCAGCGGGGCGAGCGCGG